GGGGGTCACCACAACACGAGGAACTGTATGAAAGGGTCCCAGCATTACAAAGGTTGAGAACCACTGCTTTAGAAGAATAGAAAGCCTTCTCTTTCCACAAGGAGTGGCTGGTAGCTTTCTAACTGCTGACCTTGCAGGTTAACACCCCAGTGAGTGACCATTATGCTACCAGGGCTCCTTAATAAGCACGAAGTTTTAATACTCCCTTACTCTCCAAACACTGAAATGAAGTAAATGGGACTCAAACAACTCACTGATGGTCAGCTTTGGATACAGTTAACTTACTCTTGTAGGAAAACAACATTAAAATTCATCACTTTTGTTTTCATTTACAGAGTCAGAAGAAAACCTCGTAGATAACATTCTGACTTATTTTTCCTAGCTCAAGATGAAGTGAACGTTTATGGTTTTGACCTGGTTTACTTATCTGTGCTGCCTAAGGTTTGCAGAGCAAATGTCATTTAGTTGTGAATGCGTCAGTTCTTCCACTGAGGGATGAACCTACCACCATGGGACCAGTCAACCACAGGGAAACAAGGTCACAAGTCTGATTATTCCCCAATACTTCAGAGAATAAGCACTGTTTCCAGCTCAGTCCATCACAGAAAAATCACGTCCTGTGTCTTCACCTTCCCAGGGCAATGACCAAGCAGGCTGGTAGAAGGAGAAAAGGAACAAGGACCATGGGTAAAGAAAATATTGGCATGGGGCTCACAAACAAAAACTTCTGGCCAAACTAAGCAGACACAGAAGAATTAGAGATGCTGTGGGGCAGAGTCTCTGCATTACTGGCAAAGGACATCGTGTGAAGTAGACTGTCCTCAAATGGTCATCTGAACTGGTCACACTGAAACAACACCAGGAATCGACCACAGCAACACAAGGAAGCCGAAGAAGAGGCAATTGACCATTAGTTCAGAAATCATGCTTTCTAGTCTGTGCTAAGGTGAACTGCAGAGCGAACACAAGGTTGAACGTGGGAGGATATTAATGTGCAAGTAAGAGGAAAAAACAACTAATTATCCAGAAGGAAAAAATAGAATTACTGAGTGAAAAGGTCCAACAAACACTTCTAAGAGGAAAAAATGTCACTCAATACAGGTTAGAACCACAATCCCCAAAGGGACAACACAAGGACCAAGTCTGAATTTTTAACATTAAAAAAGCCCACAACACAGTGGTTAAATAGCTAAATAGCTGGAAGGCAGGCAGCGGAGCAACAAAATGCAAACAAAACATCTATGCGTGCAAATCATTAGAGCAAAAGGTGTGGACTAAAACCTAAAACCATTTTCCAAACAAGCCCATCAATACTTCATAATTGCAACCCTAGACCTGAAAAAGAAGTAAATTCCCGATGAGATCCACATAGTCAACCTCGGTAATTTCAATGCATCAGGAGTTATCTGGCTACTTCTAAAGAAGCTACTGAAGCACACTCCAGAAAGACAGAATGGCTATCGGGAGACCTAAAGGCCAATATAAAAGATACCCTTGAAAATCACTGGGATTTCCATCTTTGAAGTCTGCGGTTCCCTGTACAGCAGGGGTGTCAAACTCAAAGTGTGCGCCATAGACCAGAGGATGTACACTGGTAGAGATAGGAACTGGAAGCACAGGGAATCCAGGGTGGATGATCCCTTCAGGACCAGTGGGTAGAGGACGAGTGGGTTGGAAAGAGGAAACCGATTACATGGATCTGCATGTGACCTCCTCCCTGGGGGACAGAGAGCAGAAATGTGGGTGAGGGGAGGCTATGACAAAAGAATAATTTGTGAATTATCAAGGGCTCATGATGGAGTGGGGAGAGGGGAGGGAGGAGAAGGGTGGCGACTGAATGGAATAAAACACAGCTTTACGCTTCAGAAGGAGGCAGCCTTGGAGTTTAATTTTTATGTTTTAAGAGAAATACACTGATGATTTTAACAGCTTGAGCTCTTGACACCCAAACTACCGGTTTATAAAAAGGAAGTTAAAAGATTTTTGTGATGCAGACAACTTGAAAACGGGGACAGAAAGAGAGAAGGTGGCCCCTCGATGAGATTTCCAGACCAGCCTTACGGTGAGCAACCCAACGCCTAACCCACACCACCACCAGGGCGCTTTCTAGTCCAGAGAGGGGCCCAGATACGGTGGGGACAATGGCGAAATAAACAACAGCACACTCCGTTTGAGGTACAGGAAGAAAGCAGTAGAAGTCCTACCTGTTCATTAGGATGGAGAAGTCAGAAGAGAACAGACAAAAAAGAGAAGAGGACCAGATGGTAAATGTTTCTCATTAAGACAGAAAAAGGAAAACGATTTCCCACCAGAAAAAGGGAAACCACCACTGACAAAGGATGGCAACAAAGACAGAAGAAAACGAGCACGGCTATGCGGGCACATAACAGTGCAACTACAGGCTGGGGGGCAGTGCTGGACGGTTCTGATGAAGACGGAATGGGCCACTATAATAGGGCCCAATAGGGGAAAAGAAGGTTTTTGGTTTTAAACTATTGAGTAAATACTGTGCTCTTAAAATGCCAATTGTTTAACTGAAAAATGTTCTCAGAAATGTTGTCAGAAAAAAAAAAAGTAATTGCTGTTTGTCTCTGCTGTCTCTCCTGGCTTGTTTAATCTCCTGCAGATCTTAAAAGAGACTGCTACACCATCCTAAATCCTATCTCAAAGGCAACGCAGTCCCCAATTGGATTATGTTCACAGGCAGAAAAGTTAGAATTGATAATACAGATTTTGGGGGGACACAATTCAAACATATACATCAAATTAAAACAGCAGTTCTCAACCTGTGGGTCATGACCCTTTTGGTGGTTGAATGACCCTTTCACAGGGGTTGCCTGATTCATAACAGTAGCAAAATTACAGTGATGAAGTGGCAACGAAAATAATTTTATGGTTGGGGGTTCCCACAACATGAGGAACTGTATTAAAGGGTCACGGCATTAGGAAGGTTGAAAACCACTAATTTAGAATAAATCATAACTTAGATCTCTTAGCACAGGGGAAAAGTTGTTTTCCAAATCAAGTACAAAGGTCCAAAAAAACTAAATTCTTGATTAGTATGTGTGCATGTGATAAATATGGAAGCTGGGGGCGCTGAGGATTCGGCACTGTCTTTTGTACAAGTCCACCACGGCACCGTGAGGAAACGTGGCCATCTATCCCTGTCAGAGTTGACCATCACAGAAACACAATGCACTGCGGATCTGCGCTGGAAGTGATATGGTGGCAGTGGGGTAGGTTGGGTTTGGCTGTGTTAATGATCCTAGGAGTGACTCGGAGAGACCTTAATCATTTTTGATGAGTGTTATCTTAAAGGGGTCAGTGATTGTTTTCTTCGGAGGACCAGAAAGTATTTTTTGCTTTGTAGGCACAGTCTGTTCCAAGTAATCAGCTCTGGCCCTGGAGTGCAAAAGGAGCCACAGACAATATGTAAATGAATGAGCATGACTACAATCCAATAAAACTTTATTTAGGAATACTGAAATTTGAGCTTCATAAAATTTTCACATGACCCAATGATATTCTTAGTTCATGACTCAGGTAACAAACTAGATGTAATTCTAAGAAAGGTCTCCAAGGGGGTACAAATGGCTTGTGTTCAACTAACCTAAAGTTGGGCAATTTGTCTCCCCCAGTAGTACCAGGGAAGACCTGGTAATCTGCTACTGTTAAGATCCCAGCGAAGAAAACCCTATGAATTAGTTCTACTCTGTCACACATTTAGAATCCACTGGATGGCAATGGGTTTGATAGTCAAATTATCGCCATAATCTCCACTGCCATTGAATCCATTCGGACTCAGTGCACATGGTTTCTGACATTGAAAATCTTTACAAGTACAGCAAGCCTCATTTTCCTCCCAGAGCAGCTAGTGGGTCTGAACCACGAACCTTGTGATTCGACTCCTAATCCACATGATATTACCCACTAATTTGGTATCTCCTGGCCTTTTTACATCCTCTCAAACACAAACTCGTGATATCATGTCAATGCAGACTCCCAGCGACCCTGAGACAGGAGAGAACTGCCCCCAGGAGTTTCCAAGACTGTAACTCTACGGGAGTAGAAAGTTCATTGGAACCCCGAAATATCCCTATGTCACAAGACTATCATTAGAGCAGATCACAAAGATTTTCTCAAGGTGCCCTTGGGAAAAGGAAAGTGGTCTAAAGTCAGAAGCACATCTCCCAGAAGTTTGCTCCAGGTAAAGTGAAAGGCATGACAATATGAATGGAGGAGAACGTACCGTAATACTTCTGCCACAAGAGAAAAGTCTATCAAGCTGCCTAGACACTTACTGAGGATGAAGAGAAAACACCATCCGTAGTGCACATACATATACAGCTGAGATGGTGTTGTTATGAGACAATACGAGAGGGCTTCGAAAAGGTCAAGAAAAAAATTACATTATCTTTTAATTCTCTTTCTCCACAAACTTTTTCAACTTTGTGTTGTGAGGGTGGAGGTTTACAGAGTGGATCAGTTTTCCAATCCACAATTCATAGACATCTTATTCTGTGACACTGATCACAAGCCCCACAACGGAGCAGCAATTCCCAACTTCCCTGTGTTTCCACCTTCTTTCCTCACACCCTTCTGAACTCTGTACTTGAGGAAATGCTGTTCTTCTGCTCTCAAATAGTTGACTATTCTAAGGCCTTGGTACTTTCCTAAGTCACTGTTCACTTTACAGACCTCTCTAGTGGTTGGCTTACAGTGGAGCCCTGAGGTTGAGTTCATTTCCAGATCTGTAGGGTCACTAAAGATCATAGTCTCATGGGGTCCCACCAGTCTATCTGGCCAGTGAGTCTGCTCTTTTGTAGGACTTGGAGTTTTGTTTCCACAAACTTTCTGAAGCCCCCTTGGTTCAGTTCCGTGCCGTGTCCTATGAGGCAGTGAAGTACGCTGTAGCATGGCTCACTCCCACTCTGCATGCCAACCACGCATACTGCTTACCGCTCGCTTCTTTTCTGCTAGACCACAGCTTGCTATTTAGCTTATCAACACACTCCAATTCATATCCTACCTTGCATGTTCCTGAACCCCCACAATCTCCACTTCACTATCCGAAGAGGCAATATTTATTTCTTCATTGAGTGGGGCACTGCCAGCAGACATTTTGTCATTTGCTAGGAAGCCTGGATCCAAATGACCTGAGAGAGAAGGGGAGACAAAACAAGAAGCAAGGTTTGACTTCTTATAAACAGATGCAATAATAACTCACTGATGGATTGCACACACAGGTTTCATCCCAGAAACAGCCCAATGGGAACGTGCTGCTATGAAAGTGTTCCCCAAGTCAAATAACCAGGGCAGTGTTCTCTCTGCTTTAATTAGAACAGGATATATGTACATGGCTAACACATATATCTGTCAAGCACAGAAACCCATAAATATAAGAAGGCAAAGCCTTCTCACCGATCTACTCCTATTCCTCAGCAGAAAAAAAACTTCTGAGTGCTTTGGCCAATGTAAATGTGATAACACAATGCTTTTAATCTGTAAATTCCTTTGTGCATTCAACTCCAGTCTACTTTAAATTGACATGCATTACACAACCCAGAGAGCAACGACCAGTTCTCTACTGTTTATAATCATTCTTTAATAAATCAAAAGTCTCTATAACAGAGGCAATCATTAATACCCTATTTATACTGAGCTGTGTTATTAATGTTTTAATATTTGTTTTCCCTAAAACTATGCAGCCTGGGCAAAATCAGACCCACGACAACCCGACAGAAGGCCAGAAGTCGATCCCAAATTTGGGCTCTATGCAAAACTGCAACCCAGCCTGCACATCACCAACTATGCTCACTGGACAAAAGCACACCACCAGCTCTGAGAAAGCATGGCGGCTGGTGACACTGGAGCCTGAGAGGTCCTTGTCACCAGGGTTTTCATAAAGCACCCATGCAATGATTCTCCAGTAACACAGAAAGGTTGAAATTCACAGAACTCTCTTTCCATAAAGGCAGATGGTACAGCAGCAAAGCTCACAGCTCGGAAAGCAACTCCTAGCACATCAGAATGATGGGAGTGGGTGAGCTTTACAGTGAGAGAGAGTTGCTATGGACCCATGTTTTTGTTTACTCCGTAAAGAATATTTCTATTTATACATACTGCCAGCTGTTACAAAATTATTTCTCCATAGTTGTATTAGAAAGAAAAATTTTTTCATGACAACCTCACACAAATAAAAATTTTTACATATAAAATTCTCCTTCCCGCTTCCTTCTGCCTCTAAATACAGGATATCCTCTTAACAGGATAGCTCACTCAAGCCAATGCAGCTCACGGTCAATGGAAATCCTATAGTTTCACGTTTCTGCCAGCTTTGAGTACCAACTATTTGGAAAGCTACAGATAGTGCCTAATGAAAGTGCCCAAAGACAGTCACTACAGGGCAGTACAGAAACCAGGAAAATGTACGTATAACACACAAAATAACACAGACGACACTAGGAAACTCTGTAGGTAAAAGTTATGAGAAGGAAATCATGTCCACAAATCTTTCATGATGATTTTTAGTTTTTTCCTTCAACTGAAAATGCTCCACGTGAGAAAAGAGAAATATTAAAAAGGCACAATAACTGGTTCCTCTTTCCTTGCATCAAGAGGAAGAAGGGCCAGGACTATGAGAAGGTGAGGGAATGTGTGCCCCTGTCACAATTCCTCATGGGCCGGAGTCCACAGGCATGCATGGGGCCTGGCTACCAACCATCACAGAACATTTTGACCAATGGTTTCTATAAAAGAATTTCAATCAAAAGGGGGGGGTGGGGACAGAATTACAAAATCTTATGGACTCCAAACTTTCTGAGGCCACCGAGGCTGGACAAGTCCCCAAACTACTGCCTAGCTTATCTAATAAAAAAAGTCTGCCTTGAACATTATGCTCTTTTAAGATCTAGCTATATCAAGCTGATAATAAACTAAAAAAACTAAACCCACTGCCACTAAGCCAATGCCAACTCATAACAACCCTAGAGGACAAGGTATAAGTGAGTCCTTGAGTTCTGAGGCTCTCTATGGAAGTAGAAAGCCCATCTTTCTCCCACTGAGCAGCTGGTAGTTTCAAACTGTACACCTGGCTGTTAACAGCCTAACATGTGACCAATATACCACCAGGGTCCCTTAAATAATTATTGTCAACAGCTCCTAGAAAGGTTAGACTGTAACCCGAGCGACAGCGGGTTTAAGCTAACTGGGGAGGTGCGGGAGGGGGGGGGGCATAGGGAAAGGCGCACACACACTTTGGCCTAAGTGAGTAAGAATGGTTGTACAACTTGAAGGATATAATCAGAGTCACTGAATCGTGCATGTAGAACCCAATGAGTTGGTACAGTTTTATTTGGTATATTCTCAGCAACAAGAAAATATATAAATAATTTAAATCTGTACCAAGTATGAGAAATGAAGTGCTAGAGGGACTAAATAGTAATAGTGTAAGAGTTCTGCCACACTTCTGCCAGACCGATTAGATAAGAGGTGCAGTACAGGTTATCACTCAGCTGGAACACACCTCAAGATCTACCTAAGACCCTAATGGCACTCTCAAACAGCCGGAAATGCACCCCTCTGCCTAGGGTCACCCTCTCCCAACACGCCTCTTGAACCTCTGGGACCCTTTGGGTCATTCTCTACTGCCCACCATGGCTTCCCAGGAGTCCCCTGACAGAGCGGAGTCTAAGGCATATATACAGTTGTGTCAAAAACTTCCTTCTCTCAAAAACTGCCAGAGTAGCAGTCTGTTATAGTTCTAAGCCCCATAGAGAACATGTGAATGAACACTGTAATTACTACACATTAAACAGAAAATAAGCAGAGGGTTTAAAGTAACTGTATGTAAACTCAGGCAGTCTCTGTGGTTTGTATCTGAATGGCTCTTTGGAAAGGTAGCTTCTAGCTTTTAGAAAACTCCCAGTTGCTGTCCTCTCACTAGATACCTTTTCTACACATAATACATCACCAATTTGGGCAAAGCAATCAGGCATAGAAAAAGGCGTAAACTAGGTTATCAAAACAAACTTTTTTCTTCAATAATGCATACACATTTGAATCACAATTGTTCTAAATAAGAATTAGAGCACTTGTAAGAAAATAATGATATACCGGTGGCATAGGGGTGCTAGGTCTATAAAAAAATGGATATATATATAAGCCACTACTAATCTGGCTTTAAAAACAAGGTGATTGTTACTGTGTGCTTAGCTCTTTCAACATGAAAGTTACAAACTTCACAAAGTGGGGATGGGTGAGCACAGAGGTCAGAAATCTAGAATTAACTAGTGTCCATGTGAAGCAGCAGGTAAACAATGAGGAATGTGATCAAACTTTAAAATGTTGTGCTGGGGACAGGGCCATGCTTGGCTGATTATAAGAACCCCTTTATTAGGAACAGGAACCCAAGCTTTGGTTCTCGTCACCACATTGCCAGGAAAAACACCTACCCGTTTTTACCAGGCCCCCCAGGTTTTCTGCCTCTGAAAGGGGTGCAGGCTCCATTACTGTTAGGTGCCATTAAGTCTGTTGCAACTCACAGCGACCCTAGGGACAAGAGAAGGAAACACCAGCAGCCTGCACCATCCTCACAAGTGTTATGTTTGCGTCCATTGTTGGAACCACTGGTCACTCCATCTCGTCGAGGGCTCTTTTCGATGTCCTTCCCAGTTCCCTACTGATCTTTGTGGTAAAGACTCGCGTTTCCTTTTATGAAAGGTCTCTGCCTTTAGAAAGATCTTGCATTATAAACAAATCATGATTTCCTTCTCTACATTAAGGAGGGGGGAAATGCTTACATTCAATAAGAGCAGTTATCATTCCCCAGAGGAAAAAGGTTCTAAATAAATTTTATTTGCCACAACGATAAGCCCTCTACACTAAGATTGCTTCATAGTTCCATTTTTCTGGGTCCCACCCACATTCTAGCAACTCAACAAAAATCACGTCGTTCTTAGATGTCTGGGTGCATTGTTTTGCTGAGTCAGCTGGGGTTGGGTAATTCAAAAACAGATTCCCAGACTTCGTTTCGATTGACTGACAAAATCTTCCGGGGGAAATCTACAAGTCCGAATTCCAGAGTTTAAGAAATTCTGTAGCAAGAACAGTTCAAGCCAAAGCATGCAGGGTGATCCCAAACCCAACCCACTGTATTCTAGCTCCCAGAAAACCTGTAGGACAGAGCAGAGCTGCCCAGCGAGAGCAGACGGTCACATCTTTCTCCCAACCAGCAGCTGGGTGGGTCTGAGCTGTCTGCTTGACAGCTTTTGGTTGGCATCTGAGTGCTTCAACACGATTTTAACACATGATCAGGACAGTAAATCAGAAGTTCCCTGATTTGGCCCATTAATCATTTCTTTTCTCAGTCAATGTCAGCATAATAATGTCATTGCAATTCTGGTTGGCAGTCCCAAGTGCCTATTACATAAATTACTTTACTTCATGGAAGGGATAACTTACTAACATTATCTCAGTTTTGCGAACGAGGGACAGACTTTAAAAGGCTCTAGTTCAAAGCTAAGTTCTGGAAGCCAAGGTTTTCAGCAGCAGGCGACTTGACTCTAACACTCAGTGAGAAACATTAACCTGTGGCTAGAGCTAATGTTGAGTCACGTTGACCAGTGGCTTTCCGGATTTCAACTCGGCTTTTTAAATCCGCTTGCGATTGAATTATTTTGCCTTGGTTAAAAGCCAAGAGTATATAAAACTATTCTGGGTAAAAGAATCTTATCCCTTTGTTTGGAAGAAAGAGTAAGGCAGTCTCTCCCCTGTGACTTTTTACATGCCCCTGAATGGAGTGGGGCTCAGACTTTGTCTGTCAAATCAATGAGATCTATTCACAGAATACTTCATCCCAAAACTGCCCATGTTCTTCGGAAGCTCACATGGAACATTCACCAAGAGCAACCACATGAACTATACCTTTACAGGAGTAAAAAAAGGAAATCATACAAAGTATGCTCTCAGGATACAATGGAATCAAACTGAAAATACATGACAAAAAGCTAGAAAATGTAAAACTATTTCAAAACACAAACAACACAATTGTAAATTAAGAGTCAAAGAAATTTTTTTAACATTTGAAGAGGTTTGAAAATACAACTTATTAAAATCCAAGAGAAGCAGCCAAAGAAGTGCTTAGAAGAAAACTCAA